AAAAGCACCACATGATCCACGTTCCTGGTGCCCAACCTTCTTCCTCACTTGCTGCCATCGCCCCCATTGGGGTGGCCAGGAAAGGGGTGCAGAAGGCAGGTGTGCCAACCATGCTCTCAGAGGCCAACCTTCTTCCCCACTTGCAGTTGGGGAAGGTGCAGAAGAAAGGCATTATGCGTGCAGCACATGGGGCTTGATTCCTGGTGAGCGCCCCATGATCCCTGGACTCGCTGACCAGGAACTTGGATTCTGAGCCACTGCAAAGTGGAACAGAGTCTGGGAAGGTGAAACCAAGGAATCAGTGGATATTCTTCACAAACCAAATTCCTCACATTTCTCTGCCTTTAGATTCCCAACCATAATATTGGGAATGTGACCAAAAGTGGCTGTCTTTTGCAGAGTAGGAGAACTACAGCAGCAAGCCTTTATTGGAAGTCCCCGATCTTTCTGAGTTCAGACAATTACAGGCAGCTCATCCTAAGAATGCTTTCAGTATTCAAGGAGTCACCCTCCTATGGAAGAAAACCAAGATTTTGGTATCTGTTCTAAAGTTAAGCAGCTGAATGTACAGTTTGACCAGATTCAAATAACTATCTTGATGTAAGCGCTAGCTCCTCCCAAAATGGAACTATTTTAGTTGACATCTGCTGACACCTTAAATGCCTTAACATATTCATTCTTAAAAAGATAAATCTTTTATAGCATCCACTTCAGCAGATTCATGAAATGTTTTAATTAGTTTACAGGGCAAAATTTTACACAGTTTGAGGTCTCGTGGCCATTAATAGTTAAAAGTGCAATCCGTGATCAATAAAAACTTACATGTATACAAAATAGGCAATCATCCACAACAACAGTAATTGGTGATCACACCAACCATCCTAGATTTGCCAGGTTAATTAACAGAAACAGGAAAAGTCTAGTAGTCTAGTCTTAGTCCAGGCCCAAACAGAAAGGATGACATTTATTGGTAAGATCTGATGAAGTGGTTTTATATAGGAGTGACCCTTTTGAAGATCTTACAACTGGTAATTCTCCCAAGGAATTTCCTTGAGTACTGGGCTCTTTTCTCTTTGGCTTCTGGAACTGGCAACATCTGATACACTGAACCCTTAGCTCAGCGATACAACAAATGGTCCCAATTTGAATCCTTGCATATCTCCAGCTAATTGGGTCTCAGCTAGCAGATGATGATATTAGGCTAGATGGGTGAGCGTGTGGTGCTGATGATTTGTTGATCAAAATGCCGGCTCACCGTGCAGCTGCTGTGAAAAAGGCAAACTGCATGACAGGCATAATTAGGAAAAGATTAGAAAATGGAACTGCCAGGATTGTACTAACCCTTTACAAATCCTTAGTGCAACCATGCTTGGAATATTGTGTACACTTTTGGTCACCTTATCTTGTGGCTTCTGGCTGGCCGGTGCCCAGAAAAGAAGCATGCTTCAACCTTTACCTGACTTCTTCCTTCCCTGTTGTGCTTCTTTAGGGTATTTTAAAGGGAAATAATAAGGGAGAGGGTGGAGATGTACTGACTCTGGGAAGACTGCCCTCTTTGAGGTCAACAGGTTTGCTTTAGACTTTGAGCTGGTCTTTGACCGTAACTTCTGTCTAGGTTTGCTGTTGTAATTCTTGAGGACTTGTGGACTGTGAGTCCAGGTAGGCATGGAATTTATTCAAGGGACATTGGACTTCCTGATTCTTCAGGTTCAGTGTTGGGTGGTGAGCTCAATGTTCTAGTCCCTATCAAGGATTCCAGTCTACCATGATTTAATCTTTCTATTTTCGTCCAAATATAATAACTCAGCAATACAATCGATAATGTCCTAGGTGCTTTCCATTGCAGCCTGCTGACATTCAGGGCAAGTTGCCCTCAATTGCAAATATTCTTAGTACTTTAATGGCTTCCTCATTAAGTTTTCTCCTTAGAGCAATTTATCTTCAGAACATTAATTATTTAGTCGTCTTTAGCAAGAAGGAGCTGGTGAAAATCGCAAGGCTCCCAGATTGTAAGGCATACACCCCACTCTGAAATTTCAGCTGCTTCTCTGAGACAAGATTAAATGTTAAGAAAATTACACTTTGTTGATATCTAACTAAATGTAGAGACCAGAAAGAAGAAGAAGGTTTAGTAATGAACTTACAATTGATTTATATCCAAGGACATTCATTAGATTAAAAGAAATCAGCTCATAAATTATTTTGCTTATGCCTGAAGCAAGAACTTCTGTTAGTTAAATTAGTATTAATAATGGGGCAACTGCTTGTCTGTTTACTCAGAAGTAAGTACAATTGTGTGCAGTGTGTTGACTCCTGATTAAGCAGGACAATCACTGAACTCAGAGAATTATGGGCATCCTGTACTTAGCTGGAAAAGCAGAGAGGCAAATTTTGCCTTTGCATTCTTCCTGCTATGCAAATACCAAGATGGCTGATTCTGGCAGAGAGTGTGGCCTTGGAGCAGGAGGAGAGGAGGCTGAGCTGCTATCAGAATGCTGCATACTCTGGTAAAGCCAATCTCCTCTCCTCCCTGCTCCCCCCCACAAAAAAAAAGCATCTCTGGGGTGGTGGGGGGTGCTCCAGGTCTGGAGTCCCAGCTCTGAGCTGTGAACAAGTTCTGTTGTTGGAGCTGGGACCCCATTAGGGTCTGTCTAGCAGCCATAGGATTGCATTCTAAGTGCTTTTAGGATCTTGACCTACTTCTACAGTCTATTAATCTTCGCAGAAAGGGTGGAAATGTGCACTTGCTCCAATTTTTCATTGAAGCATTCCAGTAATAAAAAGTGCAGAACTATGTATGTTATAATATGAAAAATAATGTTAAAATGCATAACACGAGGAAAATTACTTGCATAAAGTGTGCATATTAGGAAAAAATGCATGTAGAGAACTGTGTAAAGAAATACATATGAATTTTCATGCAAATTAGGGATGTGTGAATCAGCGAGAATTGAGTACATTGAAGTTCTGCAAAGTCCAACTCAAAGCTTATCCTGGTTTGTAACTGAAATGGCAAACTTTGTCCCCTTGTTTCCACATGAGAACCCAATTTATTTCCCTGTGCAGTTTTCCAAATGGTGCATCATCGAAATGCATACATTTTGAAATGTCTGCCTTAATGAAACATGTGAATGGTGTTGGATACATTTTGGGGGTGGGGTCCAGAAATCACATTGCAACTCAGAAATGTATGAACTTCAACCATAGATTGTTTCTGCCTCCATGTTTGGAGCAGAAGGTGTGAATTGCATAAAATCCTGATCAGAAAACGACAAAAAGGGCAGAGGTGATAAGGTGCCACCAAAGTGGGGCCATTCTCTTGAGAGTCCTTTCAAAAGCCATCCCAACAGAGAGGGAGGAGCAGAATGCCTGAGACCAGTGATGGAGAAGGGTTGGAAGACGGGTTCCACAAGAAGGTGTGGCTATTATTATTACTATTATTACATCCTGCAATTTTCCCCGTTGAGAGGAACCCAAAGAGGCTTCCATATTTTTCCTTCATGCCATCTTTTATTCTCCAAACAACTACCCTATGATGCTGAGACTCCTCGACAAAGTTCATGGCCAAATGGGATCTCTCAGCTGCCAGTCCAACACTCAACCACCACATTGCAGCGTCTCTCGTCTGCAAGGGCGCTCCTTCCCAGAAAGCATAAAGGGGCTGGTGGGAGCCACGAGAAGCTCCATATAGACACATTGGCAGAAATAAAAGTTGGTGGGGGAACCTTAAAGGAAACTTCCTCAGAAAGCCTTCTTAATGATCACAGAATTGTAGGAGGATAAAGGATATTGTAGGATAAAGATGACAAGAGTGGTGAATGGAATAGAGGAACCAGGAAAAGGACAAGCCTGCCTGGCTGACATCCCTGACAAGCATTCCAGACTGCATTGTTCTGTTCTTGCACCCCGTTTGCACATGCCAACAACCTGACAGGCTTTGAAAAAGTGGCTGTTGAAACTTTGCTGAGAAGTGGGCTCCCACCTGCCTCTTTTTCTCTGCACACCTGCCAGTGAAATCTCAAATGGCAGTTCCAGAAACGGTCTATAAGAAGGATATAAAAACAAATCCCTTTCCTCTGTTCCACACACACACACACACACACACACACACACATATATATATATATATCCCCAGATGGTTAGCAGCCATTTCAAAACATTACTTAACCATTGCATTTTATGAGATGATGAAATGTTTATTCATGAGAACAATGAGGGAAGTTCTTCATCTGCTCTTGTAAATGTGGGGTCCTCCAAATGAGAGATGGATCTCTCTTTCTTTTGCATGCTTAAGCAACCATGGAACACTCCTAAGCACTTTGGAGAGGGGTGAAGTGTGACCCTGGGCTGCTAGTGGAGGTTTAATTTCCAATGGTAGTTATAGTATGCAATAACTTAAGAAACTCAGTTCCCCTCCATAGAGTTTTCCATAACTCAAATAAATGATGTTTTATCTTTAATTAAACACCTTGAAGAAATTGCACCAATATTGTTCTACAATATGCTGGCAAACTTCACTTGCCCTGCCATCCCCAAATTAACAGGTTCTATTACAAAGCCAAGGATTCATTTTGTAATTATTCTGAAGCTGCTGTTCTGTAATCCTCCAGTGAAACACACTGATACTTCAGTAGAAAAGATAATTAAAAGCAATAATTCAGTTTGTTTAGAAGGTATAAAAATTAGAACAGTGCATCACTGCTATTAAGCAGGGAGGGATTTTTGTCCTGCACTTGATATTTTATCACAATATTGCCAAATTAAAAATACAACAAGAAAATAAAGCAAGTTGCAGTTACCTTTTCTGTTGAAGGAAAGCTTTCAATATGTTGAACCTAAATTCCAAGAATAATCTGCAATACTTAAACAAAATTTATAACCTAGCACTTCCCTTGTCCATCAAGCAGAAAGCTGTACAGAGCACCCTTCGCTGTTTTAGGAAACTAGGAAGGAAGGAAGGAAACAAAATTTCAAAATTCCACTATGGGATTTCTCTTCAGGTTGGCTGGCAGTTAAAGAACCTTGTAAATGCGTTGCGAGAAGACCCTAATGGTGTAATCTTAACCCTGAAGAAACGCCCTCAAAACACCCTGGTCTCCGCTCCTGCTCTCCTGAAAAATGTGAGGTGGAAACCCCTTGCTCTTCAGGTAAGGCTAACTTGCAGGCATGTTTCTTTCTGGTAATCACTATTTCATGCAAGGTGAAATCTTGTTTTTCTGGGGCTAAGAAGTAGCATTCAGCTTCCAAGTAGTCTGGTTAGTCCTTGGATGGTGCACAGAGCTAGAACAGCTCCAGTGTACGCTTCTGGGTTTTTGGTGATTCTGCCCTTTGCTCTCCTTAGTTTAGTTGTGAATTTTGCCTTTCTTCAGAGCAAAAGCAAGCATATTCAACAGAGAGCTGCCTCTCCATAGACACCAGGAGAAGTGTTTAAGACTGGGTTGGTATCGTGCAGTACATATGAGGAATCAGCCCCAGTTTTCTCATCGCAGGAAAGGACAAACATGCTCTGGCTTGCTACATCTGGCACCCTTTACAAAGTCCTGGGAATACACAGGGAAGCATAAGAATGTAAGTGGAGTCGTGTGGAGCTGACTCAAAATCGTACCTAGTCCAGTCCCTTTTGCACAGCTGGCCAATCAGCTGCCAGTGGGAAACTCGCAAGTATAACCCGGCTACAGTAGCACCCTCCTGCTTATGTTTCACAGCAACTGGGACATGGAGGCGTTCTGGTTCCATGCAACTCTTGCTCTGATCTGTGTTCTTCAGTCTCCCTGCCTCACATTTTCTAAACCTGATCATTGTCCATGTTCCTGCCTCTGGCCCTTTGCTTCTCCTCTATCCAGCCTGGTACCTGCTCATATCCTGTCTTCTGGTGACTACTCTGCCTCTGGCCCTTTGTTGTTGCTTACCTGACCTCCAGACAGTCCGTGACCACATCTTCTGCAATGGTTTCCTTTGACCCTTCTCCACTTTGCCAAAATCAGATGCCAAGTGAAGTGAGTGATTGTCATGAGCTGGTTTCCTCCCTTCACACAATCAAAGCCACAGAACTTTCAAAATGTTCTTCATTGACCAAAATGTTTTCCAGAAGCGAAACCACCCAGAAGGAACCTCTGAGTACTCACAGAGTGGTTCATTGAACCCAGACTCGTATTTACTTCCAGGAACTCTCCTTATGAGTGTTTGGGCCCCATCCTTTTGGGATGGGCCTTTTGGAAATGAGAATGCCTTCTCTCTGCACACCAATCCTCTACTTGGGCTGCCCTCCTCTGCCAAGATTGCACCCTGAGCTCAAGAACTGTGACCCCGCTCCCCTCTGTCTCTGAGAAGCTCCCCTGTCCAAGCCCCCTCCCACTAACTGTCCATCTTGGTTGTTCTCAGAGGCCACCTGAGCACCTGGGGAGTCCGGCCTTGAGATAAGCATCTCCGCTTCTCTCATCTCAACATCTGGAATTGGCCCACATTCCGAGGCCCCTCCTGCTTTTCCTCCTCCTCCTCCTCCTCTAAATTCCAGTCAGCAGCCTTGAGAATGCAGGCCAAGAGCTACTGTCTTTCTCATTCCCAGCAGTGATAGGTGAGAATTTATTTTCAGTTCAGTTTTGAGGACAATTAATCAAAATTTGAAAATTTTTTCATGGACAGAATGTAAAGAACTTGATATTTAACAGACAAAAGACCTGAAACAAAGTGATCCATCCATCTTAGGCTCAGAGCCCTGAGCATGTTGAAAGTTTGGGCTGGCATCCCTGTGTAGATAGATAGATAGAACTTTATTACAGTCAAGACCAGCTTAATTCAAATAAATAAATAAATAGATTTTAAAAATACATTAAAGGTCATCTGTCATAAAACCCCAGTCGGATTAGTAATTACTTCAACACAATATACTGCTACCCTAGTTCATATCAGTCATCCTGAGTAAGTGGCATTCACAGACTTTGTCTTTCATCCAGCTAGGTAGAAGCACCCTCCCTCAGGATCTGTCTTTGGACACCCATCGCAGCTGCAAAGAATTTAGTGACACTGTATGTTAATGTTGGATTCGTGTCAGGCAGCAGTATATAGATTTATTGTTGTTCCTTACAGCCCGGGAAGTGATTCATCGGTGGGGAAATGAGTGCGGCGCAAATATCCCTATAGAATGTGCACCGCAGAGGACATTCTCTAGTTTCTATCTGTTCCATGCATCTGATCATAAATCCCCGTGCCGTCTTCCATGTGTGTGATGCTGAAAGAAGGTTGCTCCTCTCTTCTTCTTACAGGCTTCTCATCTTTGTTAGCTACACAGCAAGCCAGGACAATATGGTACCTGTTGCATTTGGATAATAGAGATGGTTGAGCATTTGACTTCAGTTTGGCTTTGATAAGGCCTTGCCAGAACTGGCAGACGTGATTATATTTAGGGCAGAAACACCTTGATTTAAAACCATGAATACAGGAGGAAGCGATACTGAGGGGTTCATTCAAACCTAACTGAAGCGAGATGCAAACCAAGACCCAAGACTGGCAGAGAAAAAATGTCCTGGGACCCATAGAGGATGCAGTGATTGCCTCAACACCTAGCTTAAGGCTGGCAGGTGTGCATGCATGTGAGGGGATAATATGTATTTATTTATTTATGTTTATTTTATCTTCTACCCAGTATTTATACGTTGCTCCTTACCTAGGCAGATTCTGGAGCAGTGAACAACAGAAGGATAAAACTGATAAAAGAACAAAAACAATTAACTTTTCATCCTTTAACTCTGTTGTTTAATTAACAATGCTCCTGTAGGTTTATTGGCCATGTTTACATTTTACTGGATTTTTATATGTTTTATCTGCTTATTATGTACTGTCATTAAGCTGGTTGGCCAGTCTGGCAGAATGGAAAAGCAGGACGTGAAGTCTTAAAAACAGTGATGCAAACACTGAATGGCCATGATGTGCCACTACTATGCAAGAAGGGGAACAGCTTCTTATAGTTCTTATACCTGTCCTGATTTGGAAGATTGGGAAACATAATATCTAGAGGCACTTTGTAGGCCTTGCTAGTAGGAGAGATTACTTATAAATATCAGGGGAAGCTATCTTCAGTCTGGGCCCAGCATAGAGTATACTCAAAAATAGTGCCAAATGGGAAGGATCTTGGAATTGTGATAGATCACAAGCTTGAATAGAAATTAACAATGTGATGTGGCTGTAAGAAGGGCAAATGCTATTTTAGGCTGCATGAATAGAAGTATCCCTTCCAAATCATGTGAAATACTAGTTCCCCTTTACTCAATACTATTAGGCCTCATCTGGAGTACTGTGTCCAGTGCTGGGTGCCACAGTTTAATATATTTATTTATTTATGTATGTATTTGGCCCTCCAATCACTCTGCCTCTCTGGACGGCTCACAAAATAGATGCAAACAAATCAGAAAGCATTCAGAGAAGGGCAGCGAAACAAAGCCCTATGAGGAAAGACTAGAAGTACTGGGCATTGAAAGGAAAAGAGGAAAAGACTGAGGAGAGAGATGATAGCATTCTACAAGTACTGGAAAGGCCATCAAAAAAGGAAGGACTTCTCAAGCTTCCCAGAGTGCAGAATGTGGAATAATCGGCTCAAGCTACAGAAAGCCAGGTTCTGGCTGAATGTCAAGGAGGACTTCCTGACTGTGAGATCAGTATGACAATGGAACCAATGCCCTAAGGAGGTGGTGGGCTCTCCCACACTGGAGCCATCCAAGATGCAACTGGACAGTCTTCTAAAAGCGATGGATTAACCTGGAGTTGTGCACTGACCCAGGGGGTTGGACCTGATGGCCCTCTGGCCCTTCCAGCTCTACTATTCTATGCGTCTGTGCCTATCTACTCAAAAGTAAAATCTGTTGCGCTTCAGGGGATTTATATTGCTGCCCCTAATGGCTCATGGCAGTCCAGTTTTGCAGGTGGAAGATCCTGGCTTGGATGCCTGGCCACTGTACTTCATCAGCTCAGCAGTGACCTACAAATTGAGTGCAATGCATTTCCTGAGAATTGTTCCTTTGAGAGAAGAGGGCATAAATCTAACGACTTTCCCTTCATATCTTTTTATTATTATTACTGGGATTCCAAATGGAGGGAGTACACAATTACAATCACTGCATCTTCTGCTAGCTGCTCTCAGCCAACTGCTTCTCATTCGTCAGCTCTCTCGGGCAAAATCAATACTACCAAGCCAAATCATTCTCCATTTCCATCATATCACAGCTATCCCTTTCCTTCACTCCCTCCCCTCTTTTTCTGCCTATCCTTTTAAGGAGAAATGTAAAGTCCCTCTTGAATTTCACAGCCTGCCTGTTTTCAGGCTTTTGGACCAAAGAAGTATGATTTAGAAGATAGGCATTATTTATTTGCCAGAATGGAAACAATCAAAGCGATCGTGAATTATTGTTGGCTGCTCTACCTGCTGCCCGATTCAAGCATTTCCAAGTGATTTTTCAAAAGAAATCCCCATTAATCTGTTGTGGACACAATTGTTACTTTAGACCAACCTCCCCCAGCCCGGTGCTGCCTTTATGTTTTGGACTACCATTCACATCATTCCCAGTCAATAAGATAAATGGCTGGAGGAGAAATAAACACTGTAGTGGAATGCATCCAGTTGAACACATCTAGATGGGAATAAGTTGAGGCAGATTGCTTTGAATATCAGTAGAAGGGCCAAAACACAGTTGACATTAAAAATGTGACTGTGAATTACAAAGTGCACATCATTGTGGATTTTCATAGAAATGGAGTTTGTTTTTACTAGAACCCTTCAAGTGTAATCAGAACAGTGGTTGATGTACATGATAACAAGCAAATACTCTGCCTTTTAGCCCAAACCTCCCATCAGAAATAAAAGTCACCTTTAAAACTAAACTGTAGCCAAATTTTCTTGGAAAACTTCTTTTCTAAGAAAATGTCAAGATATTTTCTCTCTCTGCCCCCAAAAGAGCATAGCTCCCAAAAATAGTCTCCAAAAACATAGGAAGGAAGCTACCTCCCCAAAAAAGCCCCATGTACAGTGGAAACTGTAGGGGATTGCTTGTTGCAATGTGTGCTTGTGTGAATGGCCTCAGGTTGTGAGTTGTTGCTGCCATTGTTCTATTCCACCTTCTTGCAGCAGTGGGACTAAAGTCTGCTTAAAAACTTATACCATTACAACATGAATAGAAATATGCACAATGCAATTAAATCTGCTGAAGGATTAAAATTAAGTTCCAAAATTAAAACAGCCATACAAACAATATAAGCAGTGAACATATTTTAGACAACAACAGTAGTCTAATGTAATCTCATAGGTCCAGATGCTTCCCGGAGACCTGTCAGAGCAGAAAAGTTCTTGTCTGCCTCCAAAACCATGACAGGGAGGCTGCCAGAATCCCTAGATGCCAATGTGGTCTCCCTGGCAAGAGAGGACCAGGGCTATGGGGCAGCACCGAGACCTGCCTATGAATATGGTGGGACCCAGAGAAGGGTCTCTCCTGGACATCTTAGGATGTGGACACGCTCATAAGGAAAATGCAGCCTTTCAGATGGTCTGACCCCAAGCTGAATAGGGCTTTGTAGGGTGTAACCAGCACCTTGAATTATGCCTGGACAGAGATGGCGCAGAAGCAAGGAAGCTGTTTCAGCAAAGGAGTCGTGTGCTCCCTGTAACCAGCCCCAGTCAACAGTCTGGCTACAGCTCAATGAACCAGTTGAAATTTCTGGACCTTCCAGTATTCCAACTGGGATGTCACTGAGGCATGTGCCATGACAGCCCAGCTTGGTTACTCAGAGGTTTCCATAATTGGTAATAGTCTCTTTTACCTTCAGGCAGTGAAAGAATTTCCCTTCCCTCCTTGCTGGGATCCCATAACTGGAGGTGGATCTTGAAGACTGAATCTTGGGTCTTACTTGTGTTGCATGTGAGGTCGCCAGATCAGTGATGTAGTAAGCAGGGAAGGGGAGGGTTAGGGGATTGCTTTTGTTCATTTGTTTGCAGAAGAACACAATTGCATGGAAGATTATTAATTGGAGAGATGAATTAGTTAATACCTACAGAAGCATAACCTTTTGGCTTCCAATGCGTTTGCTAGTTAGGAAAAAGCAACCCACAAATCTCAGTTTAGAGAAGGTGACAGTTTCAAGGGAAGGCACTTCCACGAGGCCGATGCCTGCTGAGACGATGTACATCCCAGCTGTGTTGAATCGAAAAAGGTGGAAAGGGATAAAACTGGCTAGTTTATTCAGTGTACACCCTTTCTTTTTCTCTCCCCAGCCTGTTATTCCAACCAGCCCAACAAGCAGCTCCACAACACCAACCAGCACAATGGGTATGAGCTCCAAAATGGACAACTCAACTCTCCAAGACGTTTTCATCTTATCACCTATGTCCGGACTCTATGGCCCCAGGTACACCTATTACATGGATGAGAATGCGGGCTTTTAGAATCAAAGGATCAGACTAGGGAGCAGGTTGGAGCCAAGCTTAAAATTATTTGATATATGGCTTTTGTTGTACGGTTTTGTTTTGCATTCAAGGACTTTTTATGGGATGAGCAGGTGCTCCAGACTCATTTTTAATTCCTGAGTCCCATTGAACACAATGCGTTTTGCCTGATGTCCAGACAAAGGTTTTCCCGATTCTGCACAATGCCTGGGAAAAGCACATATTACGTTCCAGCATAACCTTCTAGGCTCATCTCAGAAGAAAATGGACAGCTCCTAAAGATACATGTCTTCAGATTGTACCAAATGGCCTTCATGGGCATAAGACTTGAAATGATATCCTTCATCCATTCCACTGAGCATCCTTAAAATCCTCCCTGAATTCAGGTACTCTGCAATATTAGGGTCCGTAGTGCATTCAGTCAAAATGAACTGAAGAGGACTTACTTTTGCAGAAACAAGCCTATGATGCCCTGATATTTATCATTAGATTTGTCCACCACTAAGAAAAACCATCTGGGGATCTTCCTCTGAAAGTTCCAATATGTTTCAGGCTGGCCCTGGGATGATACAGTCTTCCTTTCCCAACATAGTGCCACTCTGTGGAGATTTCTAAACATACATACTTAGGAGTTAATGGGAGGTTGCTTTGGCAACATTGTGGACAGTGCAGGTGGTAGACCTGATGTGAATCCGGAAGGGGAGAAAGGGAGACATAAGAGCAAATGTTTTCTTTCAAAGAATGGATCTACAACTTGTCCAATACCCTGTTCAGTGCAGGTAATTCTGTGTTACAACATCCAACAGACGGCTTACCAGCCTCTGCATGAAGACCTTGAGCAAAGGATCTACTTCCATGACCTGCTCTTAATGCCAAAACTCCCCCTACATCTTAAGCCAATTTCAGTTTGGCAATCCTTCTGCTGTCTGAAAAAGTGCTAGCATGTCCCTTCTTGGTGCTTTTTCTCCAGACAAAACTTATTCGGTTCTCCCAAACATTTCTCACAGGACTTCTTTTCCATATCCTTGACCATGTTCACTGGTAAGTTGTTAAGCTTTTATGTCCCTTGGCCCCCTAAGATAGAATTCATCGGTGTTGAAGACATGGGCTCCGTAATGGTAGCCATTTCCTGTTTCTCTCCTTGTGGGTTCTGATGTACAGTTTTGACCCAACTCTGCACCAGTTGCTCATGCAAATTTCCTTCTAAGGAAAAATTGAGATAAAAATAGGAGAAAGGCAGTTACAATTTGTTTTAGGCAATGTTAACTTTTCACTTCTCTTACTGACAAGGGGTCTGCCATTTCCCTCTTCTTTCTTCAAACATATACGAAGTAAACATTCTGATACCTCTTGTATTCTCAGCTTGTTCTGAGTTCTAGCTTTCCTGACACTGTCCCTAGAAGTCTAAACTTATCTTTGGTGATAAGTACTCATCCTTACTTCTTGGTGAGCTGTCTTTTCTTCCATTTTTAAAATGTATGTCTTTTTTCCATTTTCAGATTATCGCTAAGCTTTTTCTACATGTCTCTAGGGCTGTATGAGAATTTCCTCTCATTTCACAAATAACTTGAAAATACCCTCAAAACACAAATAGAAATGCATTTCTTTTGAACTTGCCTTTCATACACAGCCTTTTTCAAAATGCACAAATGTTGAAACTGTGCTACTTTCTCAAAATGCACTATTTTCTCAAACTCTGAATGTTTTGAAAAATGTCCACATTTTGGAATGTGCACAACTTTCTCAAAGGGTACAGCTATGTATGCGGTTTTAGACATTGGCACATATCTGGGATTATTTGTGCAACTTTCAGATTTGCTAGCTGTTTGTTTTATTCCATTTTCCAGTTCATATGAAACAAACAATGATCAGCAATGATGAGCAGCAAGATGCCATTTGGAGAATCTTGGCAAGTTCAAGCATCACTCACATGAGCTTCAATATAGCCTGAAGTGCCTGATCCTGATTAATCTTGGAAGCTAAGCAGGGTCAGGCCTGATTGAAACTTGGATGGGTGACTTCAGTGTTATGAATTGCTGATAGCTTTGGCTATGGGCAGTATAGAAATGTAATGTAGTAATAGTAGTAGTAATATGTCTATCCCTACCTATTTTCCACTTTCCTTTCTCAATAGCATTGTCTGCGAGTGTCCCTTTACTAACACCTTATTCAGAAATGCCTCTCCATCTTGGGCTTCTTTTCCTGTTAGCATATCTAGTCAAGGAATCCTACCTAGCATTTCTCTGAGCATATTATAAGCTGCTTTCCTGAAATCCAAAATACATATTTGACCATGTGCATGTTTAGCTTTCCATAAGATCAAGAAAATACAGCAGTACACTGTCACAATCAAAGATCTTCTGGCTGCGATTTCATTGATCCTATTTGCAAGGGCCAAGCCAATCTGCTCATTACTTCCTGAATGTGGTCAGCAAGACATGTCAGGAATTTGTTGCAAATTCTGTGTTTGGTGGAGATCGTCTCCCAGCAAACACTGGGAGACGATCTCCACCAAACAGTATGGTAGTTGAAGTCTCCTATTGCTAGGAATTCTTGATTCCTTGAAATGCAATGATTTCAAGGCCAAGGTGAAGGCAAGATGATATTGCACATAACACAGGCCACTAGTAGCGCTTCACTTCATTCTACTTAGGTGTTGCGTTTACCCCTGCTTTGGCCTTTAATACTGGTGAATGCACACTTCATTTCTTTCTTCCTTAAAGGTTGCCTGAGTTGATGTGATGTTCTCCAGTTTAGAAAATGATGGAGACTATGTGGAGTGGTCAAAAACCCAACACCCCAGTCAGATCATAATGGTCTTTGGCATCTTCCACTGAGGCCAAAGGGAAAGTCCATAGATGTGTTGCCATTTTGCCATATCTTCTTTTTAAAGAGGACCCCATGGCTTAGCCTTTCCTACTATTACTTTGGGATTGAAGTTGGTGGGGAGGTGGCAGCACTGGAAACCTCAAATGAAATTTCTGAGGAAAAGTAGAATATAATAGCATTGAAGTGGTAGTGGTGGTGGTCACAATGACAATGGCGATGTAATAACCTGCAGCATTCTTGCTCTTTGCATTTCAGCACTGATGAGATAAGCAGCAGCTCTCTTTTTGCAGACCATAATTACTGATTCATATATTTCTCATTCTCCTTCTTTCCTTCCTTCCTTCCTAGAGATGACATTGGACTCATGCCCTGTGATGACATCAGCAAATACGGAGTTGGGAAGTCTGGGCTGAAGGGCTCCGAGTCTCCAAGCTACTTTTTAGAGCACGAAAGTGGGAAATATTACACATTAATTGAAGGCGAGGGCCATCCTGTAAGTTCCGAATATGAAAGAGGCAGAGCAACTGGGGTGCGGCGAAGAGAAAAGACTCCCACACATGGTACACTTCCTGGATTTCACTTTTAAAGGGATTAGTTGAGCTTCTTTCTTACATGGATAGCTAGACTCCTAGCCAAAATTCAGCTGGGAAGATGAAGACCTCATTCTGATGTGCCATGTTTAACAACCACAACTAGTGTAGGTGATATGCGTGGCCAGAACGTGGCTTCCAGTACATCTGATGCATTATAGCTGACCACTGGTCCATCATGATTCCTACAGCTGCAAGACAAATGCATCTGGGGAACTGATGGGCAGGACATGCAGGCAGGAGTCTGCCAGCCCTGGCATAATGTCTCTGAACATGCAGGTTTAATTTGGCTTCCATGACAAATAGCTCTTGCTTGACTGATCCTCCATTCATTTGTGGAGAGAAGCGTAAGTACATGATGCACATCAGCTGCTCCGTTTCTTAATTTTGTGCACTCATGATCCTTAATTTCTACCACAAGTTAGACTGAAGTTCAGCTTTAGCACATCTGACAGTATGTGATCCTATTCTTTGATATTTGTAGAGGCTCTCTTGATTTACATATCAGTGAGAAAAGCATTAATCAAAACTGTCCAGAAGCAATGTAAGTTATTCTTTCTGCATACCTGCCAGAATTAAAGCCATCGTCTTGAAAATAAATGGTGGGATTGTGCTAGCAAAAGCCCTAGAAGAGGGATGGATCAACCAGCAATTTTCAGGCTTACCTAAATTCTCCTAAAAGGCTTTTTAAGCATCTTCAGCTGTAAGATTTCAGGATTGCCATTAAAAATGCGTAGGCCTGCAAAGTTCTCCAAATTCCACCTAAAAGCTCGTTTTGACATGAGCCTGTAGCAGATTGGTATCTTTGCTTTTCTCCTTTTACTTGAAAATCGGTGCATATTTTCCCAAAGAGCATTGGAAGATTGGTTCTGATTTCTTTCAGAATGTTCCACCTTCAACTCAAGCTGAGATTATATCCAAATTCATGTCCAATCCAGAAGGGATAGACTGAGTAAACCTTGATGAACATTTCTCGTACATCCCTAACTGGCATACATAGATGTTTTGTCAGGGCAATCAGCCATCACTCTGCCCCTCTTTTTCAGAGCACACCTAATTCAAAGCTACAGCAGCTTCCTTAGAACATGGGTGTAGACCCTCAGGCCTGTGGATTAAGACTGATCCACCTGGGAGCCAGATCTAGCCATCCACTGTTCCCAGGGTGGCCACAGCCCTTGCCCTGCCAATAGCTGCGTGGTCTCCTGACACATTCATGTTTTTTTCCTTCTGAAAGCTGAGAAGCCTTTCCTAACATTTACTTATTCACAGAGCTTCAAGCAGCACAAAACTGGCCTTTTATTTATTCCTGGCCCAAATCTTTTGCCTTTGCCATTGCCCACACCCCTTTTGCCATCAGCTCTGCACACCACTGGCAACCTTGCCCAAAATGGAGTTTATCCCTCAGGCTGAAAGATGCACTGCCTTGCTAATTCTTCAACTGGCTCAAATTCATGGTTCATAGATTTTTCAGTCAGGCATAATAGCTGAAAGCTGCCTCGCTGCCCAGCTTTTAGAGATCAGGCGGGTGGGAGAGATAGGGCTGAGGAAAATTCTTCCTTGTCTGGGTGATTTTGGGGCAGACTCTGTCTCTCAGCCTGACTTATTCCGCAGGGTTGTGGTGAGTATAAAATGGAGAGGAAACAGTCCATTTAAGCTCCCTCAGGTTCTTTGCATGAGGGAAAATGGCAGGATATAGATGTAATAGTAAATAAATACAACCAGCCCTAGCCCTGGGAGCATGTCTGGTGGAAAGAATGGGGAATGGGGAGAGGGAGAGAGAGACAGAATGCAGCTTCAGAAACAGGAGTGGGTCTCCTTATCTGCCTACCCCTAGCTTCAATTCTGCCCACCACTGAATGCCACCCCCAAAACTTACCCACAAGGGTCAAAAGAGGAAAAAGACTTGTCCACCCTGATGCATTCAGACACAAAACCCCTGATGTTGACTCTCTCTTATCTTTGAGAAATCATGGAGGACAAGTGGAGTTTCAAATGACTTCAAAGAGGGCAAATGTCCCATTCCTCAATATGGGCAAAAGGAGGATCCTGGGAATTGCAGAGCAATCAGTCCGATACCAATCCCTGGAAAAATTCTGGAGCAGATAATAAAGTCAGCCTGGAAGCACCTTGCAAGCAATGGAGTAATTACTAGAAGCCAACATGGATTTATCAAGAACAAGTCTTGCCAGCCTAATCCGATCACATTTTTTGATTGGGTAACCTCCCCGGTGAACTGCGGGAATGCTGTGAACATCATATATTTTATTTCAGCAAAGCTTTTGACAAGTTTCCCCATGGCATTCTGATCAAAACACTTGCTAAAAATGGGCAAGATGGACAACTATCAGGGAGATTCATAGTTGGCTACAGACTCAGAGTGCAGGGGTCAGACTAGATGGCCCAGGAGACCTCTTCTGACTCACTCTGTTTCTGTGTTTCTATTGGCATCTTCCCACACTGGGGAGAAGTAGCGAGTGGGCTACCTCAGGGCTCATTCCTGGGCCCAGTGCTCTTCAACGTTTTTCTTAATGACTTGAATGAAGAGGTGCAGGGAATACTCATCAGATCTGCAGGTGACACAACACTGATTGGGAGAGCTAATCCCCTGGAAGACGGGCAAAGTTCAAAATGATCTTGATAGGCTGGAGAACTGGGCTAGAAGCAACAGAATGATTGTGTGATTTCTCCCCTCCCTACATATAAATCAGTGTTTTGCTGGGTTGAGTTATTCAAGAGAACTTACGCAGGGCTCAGTACAACTTTGCTCTTCATTCTCAGTCGTTTTCCCAAGCAAAAAATCTCATTGGCATTTTGCCTTAATAGAAAGATCAAAGATAAACTGGAATGGCTTTTTGAAACGTGAGCCAATAAGGTGGATTTGGCTGTTTCATAAAATCCAAGGGAACAATGAATTACAGTTAAGACCAACTACGTTATGCCAATGTCTGCTTCCGATAGTGTTTAGATTTTCATCTGATGTTCACATTTAGTCTATGGCATCTCTTTGAGGAAAAGAATGTGAAGAGGAACAGATTAAGACTGCTTGCTTAAAATGCACAAGGGTTCTTTCTAGCTGTGTGTCTTCGCTGTTGGTGAAGCCCACACCAAATGAGACCCCTTTGGAGACATCTGGGACTCATTCCAATAAATTGGGTGTCCCCTGAATCTGCATGAACCAAATATGGCTCTTTATCGAGCTTTGGGACTCCACAGAGCCTGCTAGCAAACATTGATGCAGTAATATGTACAAATTATGGCATGTGGTATTGTCATGCAGGCAGGGGTTCACAGGGATGTAGCGCCATCATTTTATAATGAGCAGGGTTGCTGACGTAACCTCCCACTCAGGGATACAGGGATCTTGTGTAATTCACACTGTTTCTGTTTTGCACATTATCGGGCATCATCTGCTCCGTCAGCTCCTCACCAACAGATGTAGATTTCCCTTCCCTCTCTAAAAATGCATGTCAAAAATAAATCCATTGGAATTTAAGGAATTGCTCCTGGTACATAAGGTTTTGTGAAAACATCTTAGGTCTAGGGTTGGGATGCATCCTAGAGGAATCCATTCCTCCAGTATTTGCAGATTCCTTCTCATAGAGTCATAGAATAGTAGTTGGAAGGGGCCATGAAGACTTTTTGAATGAATGGCAGCTTATATAACAGGCAGAAGAATAGTGGATGTGTGCCAAAAATCAGTAAACAGTAAGCTCCATTTATCCAGCTGCATGTTCAAATCTTTGTTGCTTGCTTGCTTGGTGTGCGTGATTTGCTTTCCCCTTCCCTGACCAACCCACCCTAAAATGGCAAAATTGTGGAAATGAGCTATCAGGCTGGGACGAAAAGGGAACAGAAACTCTTGATTGTATTCAGCCTCGTTTGTAGCCATGGTTTTATTTTTGGTCAATGTCTAATGCTTCAGAAAATAACTTGAATGTCTAAAGCAAACAGCCACAAACCCGGAGCTGGACTGGCATTTGCGGAATGTGTTTCAGTGTGTGTGTATGTCTGTTTGTATTGGCTGAGTATCTCAGATGGGAGTTGACTCATGATCTGGAGGGTAGTTTTATGTGTTTGTTGATGATGATGCAGCCTGACAAGGTCAAAAGGATGAGATTTCAAATACCCAGTTTTACAGAAGCATTTCATTCTTAATGATACTGTTTCTCCAGCTTCTCCCCACCCTTTTTCCCTCAAATTTGGGGTGCTGAAGCACACATTCTGTGTGGTGACACTCATAACAGACAGATTTCCTTGAATAACGCATTCTTTGAAAGTCAGGGTTTCAAATAATTTTATTCTCCTTTCTTCCTTTCCACCCTGCAGACATTTGTAGTTAGTCATTCATCTGCACTGGGAATGCATGAACCAAATGCCCCAACCCTGACATTCTCTGTGTGAGACATTCAAAACATGGAATTAACAAGCTTTAAACAGCAGCGGCTGAATGCTCATTTGCACATGACATTTTTGAAGGATTTCTCAAAGATACTTTAAGTGCATGTTTGAAAATGTAATACGTTAACAACACATATTGTTTCATGGTGTTGGAAAAAGTGCAGAGAGGGAGACATTTTTTCTCTCTCTTATAATATTATAATTAAGGACCGTCCCTTGAAACTGATCAGTGGAGGATCCAATATTGATAAAAGGAAGTAATTTTTTCTTCTACTCTGCCTAAGAGCATAAGGAATGCCTTGGTGGATCAAACTAAGAGTTCCGCTAGTGCCTTTTGTGCACATATTGCTACATAGCTGTCCACAAAACTAGGCAAGAAAGCAAGAGCACCTTCCCATGTTCCCCAGCAACTGGTGTACACAGGCAGACGTCCTTGGATACCAGAAGCAGCATATGCCCATCAGGACTAATAGCCAAGAGTTAACTTCTCCTCCATGATTTTTTCCCAGTCCCCTTCTGGAGTCATTTCTACAACTCATGGCAGTGCCCATACACTGTTCGAGGCGGCAGTCCTTTTACCCATCCGGCATCTCCCGCCAATCAGCTTCATGAGTTGACCACAAGTTCCAGTACTGTAAGAAAGGGAGAGAAATGTCCCCCTCTCCATTTTCTCCACACATTCTATCCCCTTTGTCTCCCTTAGTCATCTTTTCTTCTGCATCAAGCAATCACATCTGTTGTAACATCTGTTTTTTCGTGGCTGAGTTGCTTCGAGCACCCTTGGTCATTTTAGTTATCCTTTTCAACACATTATCCAACTATAGGATGATCTGTTTTGGTGTGGCATCCAGAACTATATACAATAGTCTAAGTGTAGTGAAAAGAAATTGGTATAATGATAATATGATATTGGCAATTTTATTTACAATTCCGTTCCTAATTAAATGTAATATGGGGTTTGCTTTTTTCACAATATCTGAACACTGGGCTGACCATCATCATCATCATCATCATCATCATCATCATCTCTATACTGTCTGTAGCGGAAGCACTCCAGTAGGTTTACACTGAGTTGTCCCAAGATCTCTTTCTTGAGCACTAACTCAGATCTCTTCTGTTCGTACTTGATGTTGGAAATTTTTGTCCCAACTGGCGTTACTTTACACTTGTTTATACTGAACTACATTTGTCATTTTGATGGCCATTCTCCCAGTTTAGGGAGATCTTTTTGGAGCTTCTAACATTGGCCTTCACTGATGCAGCCATCAATTCAAAGGGAAACAGCAGCCAAGAAATTTGAAGAAGATTGAGACTTGGAAGGGCACCAATGAAGGAAATAAAAAGACCATAAAGTGTGAGGACATTTCACTGAAGACCAAGGTCAAGATCACCAGCACTATTGTATTTGCAGTCACAGTCTATGAGTGTGGAAGTTGGACAATGAAGAAAGCTAACAGGAAGAAAACGGATGCAGTTGAAACGTGGAGCAGGAGGAGAGCTTTGTGAATACACTGGACTGACTGAAACACAAACAAGTCTACCCTGGATCAAATCAAGCCAGGACTTTCCCTAGGAGCAAAAATGAGCAAACTGAGGCTGCCATACTTCAGAAACAGGAGAAGGCAAGCCTCCCTGGAGAAGACAAGTATTAGGGAAAGTTGAAGGCAGAAGACAAAAGGGAAGACTAAATAGGAGATGGATTGAATCCATAAAGGAAGCCACAGCCTTGAACCTGAGAGGGCTGAATGACAGCCCTCAGACAGGACCATTTCGAGGGCTTTCATTCATAGGGTCGCCATGGGTCATGGCTTGATGGCACATAGTAAGAACAACAATTGCCTCTTCTTCTAACCACCCTAAATCATCTGGTGTCACCGGAAAACTTGGCCACTTCACTGCTCACTAATTTTAATTGTTTTAGGAAGTGGTTAGATAGTCATGCTGCAAAAAGCTATCAATAGCTACTAGCCCTGATGAGTATACGTTACTTCCAATATCAGAGGCTGCATGCTTATGCACACCAGTTGCTGGGGAACATGGATGGGAGGGTGCTGCTGCATTCATCCCCTTTTGTGGGTTCTGTACAGGTACCTGGTTGGTCACTCTGTGTGAAGCTAGATTAGATACGCCTTTCCCCTGATCCAGCATGGCACTTCTTACGTTCTTAAGTGGAGACAAGCATGGCTTTAGCAAGCATATAGGCAATAGATGTCAGCTCATTGGGAATGCAGGATTGGCAGCCGTTCCCTTTGTGTAACATGAAGATATGCTTTTAATGTCTGGGTACCAGGTACCTTCCTAAACATCTTCTAGGCAAGCAGGATGTCCAGACACTGGTAGAAGGTCTCTGTCAAGAGGCTCTTTATTTTTAAAAAGCTAACAAATATCCTAATGAAACTATAGAGGCGGATGGTTCATGCATATTTATCCTGTATGAACTGTTCCCCATTGCAAAACTGAGTTTAAATTGATATCATATGTGGAAGTTCTTCTTGTGGAGATAAGCCTGTAATAAGCTCGCACATGCATGAGCCAGTGTGACCCAATGGTTAAGAGTGCAGGTCTGGGACTCAGGTGATCCGAGATCGATTCCCCACTCAGCCATGGAGCCAACTGGGTGACTGGCCAGTCTCAGACTCTATCTCACGGGGTAAGATTGGGGTGGGAGGAGAATTAGGTTAAGCTACATCGAGTTCCTTAGAAGGAAAAAAGGTGAGCTATAAATATAATTCATTAAGTCATTAGTTACAGGAAGTAATCTGTGTCAGGAACTGGCCAATACTGCAGTAGAAATATTTTCAGGTATTTTTTACTTTTTATTTTAAAATTGTTTCCATTGTGCTATTCTTTCAGCCAAGAATCATTCATTCTTTAAAAATGGGTTTAGTTCATTTTTTCCCAGACTGCAATTATGAAAGCAGCTAATGTGGGGAAGTCCCTCCCCGCAGAAAGCAGCCTGATCCTCTAAGAACCATTCTCCAGGATGGGTTCCCCCAACAGCTAGTTTTGTGGTGCAACCCTTATCGCCCCCCTCCCCGCCATGTGCATGATGATGGTACTGTCTCCTTTGACTTGCATAGAAAGAAATATAAACTGGGCTGTATCTGGGTGATGGTCTTCCCCATCCACCATTTGGAATGGTACAGCCTAAATTTTCTGCCATGCAAATCAAGAAACAGCACCGCCTCCAATCTGGCCTGCATTCAAATTATCTCCAGTGTGCAACAGTAATTGATCCAGTGCTGAGCTGAGCATTTACTAAAACTATTCACTGAAGTCCTATGTGGAGAACTTGATGTGGGAATAAATCAATGAGTGCAGTGAGGGTAACAAAAACTGTGAGCATCACCTTGTGCTTCCATGCCATTAATAAGCCCTTCATCATGGCCCTTGCAGACTTGCAAGGTGTTTTCAAAATTGCAGGACAGCGATCTGGCATAGAGCTTGCGCGCGCGCACACACACACACACACACAAACGCCGAGCTAAGTATCAATCAATATGTGAAGTCTGGAGCAGGGATGGAGGATAAATTCATTTTGCTTGCATTTTAAAAGGAATCTACCTAATTTCACACTTTTGAACTGAGACGTGAACGGAACTTCAAGTATCCTTTGAAATTCACAGTTCTCTGAATTTTGTGATGAAGTTTTCCAATCAAAATATGCATATGAAAAGGTGCCTATTAGGAGGAAAAGCACACAAAAATGAAAGTTATAATGGAAGTAAATGTGCTGAATTAAAAACACTCCTTGCAGAAATGACTGCAGTGGGCAAATTGTGTACAGAAATGCTTATCTCAGAACAAATGGACTTGTGAACTTAAGAACACTTTTGAAGTTCTGGACAAACCCAACTCTCCAAGCACGCAAACCATGCATTTTTGAGGTCTCCACAGGATCTGATCGATTTAAATGTTCAGTTGAGGATACTCCTGTACCACCCTTCATATTGCGGAATTCTTTCCCAGCTTCACATTGTGGAATACTTCAGTGCCTTGGAGTAAGCTGGGCCCCATATTTTTACAGATTTTACTTGACATTACATTTTCAGAATATTTTGCTTCCTTCCATTGTTCCCTCCCTTCTATGGAATGTAGTTAAGTGGTGAAATTGGTACCTCACATGTACAAAGCATAGCAGATTTACCAAAATGAATGGACTGACATGGGCTGTAATTGGAAATTAATCAAAATGGAACTTCTATCAGCCCAGAAGCCCTGTTGGTTCTGCGTGTATCCAGGTGACAGGATGTGAAAGGATGCATCCTTGTTCTGAAGCAAGAGCACAGAAATTATTTCAGGTCAAGGACTGAATTCAATTTCAGGGAAGCTCTTGGGAACTGCATTCCAGGGGCAAGAAGGGCTGAAGGAAAGGTAGGCAGGACACAAGCAAAAAAGGGCTGGTGCTAAAAATACCATCCCATTTTCCCTTAAAGATCTTGCTGCAGCTAAGTATGCTGGAGGAGGGAGCAGTTCAGCTAAGAGAGCTGGGAAAGTACCAAATGATTGTCAGTCAAGGAAGCAGGGATGTGGCCAGGAGAAAGGGCATATAAGGAAACCAAATGGCTGGTTTGTCCCCTGGGTGGGTCAGATTTAGTGTCCAGTCAGGACAGAGGTTTCACGCCCCATCTAAACAATAAGTTAGGGTTATGTTTTCTACAAGTGTCCTGGCCTGGCCTGCATAGGAAGGTGTTGCATCCAAGCAGGTGAGCCTTTGGCAAACTGTCTTACAATTCCAGCACGTTCTGGGAAGTATATTCATCTCCTGCTAACTGCAGCAGATGGTAAGTAGTTCAAAGTAGCCCTTCTTTTCATGACTTCCAAGATGTTAATTGGTCTCCATTTGCATTCTTCCAGGTGATCTGAGGCCAGTCTCTATGCCAACAGAGTACAGCTGGATCAGAGACTCCAAAGAGCCAAATATGTACAAGCGGGGAAGCCGAGGTGAGTGATTGCATGCCTGCATCTACCTGATTTTTTTCTCCTTCCATTCAGACTCCTCCTCTACGCCCAGAGATATGCCCTACCCCTTGGACTGCACATCCACCGTTCCTCACCACTGGCTTTGCTAGCGAGGGAACATGGCTTCCCCACACGCACCTTTTTGAAATGTAGCGGCCCTGTAAGGTAGCTTAAACTGGGTGAGAGAGAGAGCCAGTGACCTTCTCTTATTGTTTTATCCACTGTAAACAACTGGCTGCCTTCCCAGTGTTCTATTCTACAATATACATCTACCTGAGCAAGCATGGGTCAACAACCAAGGAATTATGGGAGCTGTGGTCCAAAATGCCTAGACAGGTCGCATTATTGCTGCCCATTGTACAGCACCCAACCTGTTCTGCTGATTTAGCCCTTTGGCTGCCTTTGGTGCTTCTCAGACATTTTTCCCAAGCAAGAATTTCTCTGTCAGATGATCGCAACTCTGGGTCTGCTTCTGTGGAACATGGGTCCTGCTTGGCAGCTTCCCATGGGACAACTGGTTGGCCACCATATCGACAGAATGGTCTGATCCAGGAAAGCTGTTCTTTTTTTCCTTAAATGTTGTTGGGCCACAACTTATTTATTTACTTACTTAAAACATTTTTACCCCATCCTTCCTGATAAAATGTCTCATGATGGCTTACAACTCCCATCATCCCCATTCAGATTTGCCAGTGGTTCGAGATAATGGATGTTGTAGCCCAACACCTTTTGAGGACCCAATATTTGGAGAGTCTGATCTAAATTAATTGACCTCAAAAATTCGCTTTAGATGAAAGTAAGAGGGGATTCTATTGGAGGGGTTTTGGAAGCACTGGATAGTAAGTGAAACAACAGACACCCAGTGTGTCTGTTGATTTCCCTGGGAAAAGGACAACGGTAATGTGAAGTTCGTAGTTATCCTGCTATACAGAACTGCAGTGTGCCAAAGAACAGTGATTTCAAAGAACGGTGGCTACTTTGGTGCAACACACTGCTAAGAGGTTATAGAATAGCGATGTTTCTTGTGTACTTGTCTGGAGTGTCTCTTGGGTAGAGCCGAGGGCTACCTGAATAAGCCTTTGTGATGTGTGGCCTTGAAGAAGTTCAACTACAAGCAGATCGAGAAGCTCAAGGCTTTTATTTTCCCCATCCACATGCATGCTTGAGTTCTTCTTAGTTCAACAAACCTCTTTAGCTCAACGTTTCTCCTCTTACTCTCCCTCCCTCCCCCCTTCCCCCAATATACCCAACAACAGACTCTGAGAATTCACTCCTGCGGTACTTGAGTGATGAAAAGATCTTGGTAATCCAGGAAGAGCCATTGACTCAGAAGGAGAACAAACAGGATACTGGCCACAGGTCGAGGAAAAAGGGCAAAAACAGTGGAAGTCCCAATTATCCCATCAGTCCATCAATGTTGACCTCTTCTGTTAACATACGGCTTGAACCTGGGCAACAAGATGTCTTGAATTTCTCTCCAGCTGAGAACAACACTGTCCCGCTTTATCATGTAAGCTTCTGGCATCCATTTGATGGGTTTGCTGTTTCTTCCTGAATGTTTTTTGAGCCTTTAGAACTGAAATTAGCAAGACAAAAATGCTGAATTTGGGCCCAAATGACACATGGCTTTGCTTGCTGGTTTGTATGTTTGTTTATAAGTTGCCTTTCTAGACCAATCCCACCTTAGCAGTGAACAAAACACAAATATGAAAATACAAACACAAAAGGAGCATTTAGAGCTGAACAACACATTGAGTTCTGTTTCTGGTCACCACTGCAAATAAGGAAATGCACAAGGTAACATAGTTTCAATAGAAAACAATCAAAAGCACACCAATTTATTAGTTCTAAAAAAATTCTTCCTGAGCCTAAACTCAGATTGTACAATAATACAGGCAGTCAATGGGCTACGAACCAGTTCTGATCCTGAGAAAATGGAAATTTGTCTTCAAGTCAAATTTGTAGGTAAGTCAGATCACTTATAGTTGGCCTCCCACATATACAGGGTTTAGAGGTACAGGACCACCATGAAAGTGGAAGAACCGTGAATATCTCTAGGCTGCTCCCCCAACCCTCCCCACACCCCACTGTCCAGTGCCTCCTCTTTGTAGAAAGGAAATTCTGGAGAGATTTCCTTTTCTAGATAGGAAGGGTAGAAAGACCTGCTTTGGAGCTCCCCACCTTTCGCTTCCTTTCTTTCTATGGTGATGCTTTGGAGACCTCCCTCTTTCCCCTTTGGTTTCCTTTCTCTCTATGTCAATGCTTTAGAGACCTCCCCCTTTCCCCTTTGGTTTCCTTTCTCTCTATGGTGATGCTTTGGAGGCCTCCTCTCTCCCCTTTTGCTTCCTCTCCATGATGATGACAATTCTCCACATTATTTTTTTAAAAATTAATATGCTTTATGGCAGTTTGTTCATTCTTAAGTGCAGGTGGTTTGTAACTTGGATGCTCGTAACTTGGGGACTGGCTGGGTAAGAGTATAAAAAAACTTGAAATTTAAACTTGAACGTGATATAAATTATAATCAAAGCCACATCACTAGTGGCCAGTAGAACCATTAAAAGTCATGGGAAAGAGATTGTTTTACAGACCTTTTTAAGTGGCTGAGAGGGCCTGCTGTTGCATCTACTGCTCAGCTGTGACCAAATCCTCATTCATTCCTCCCTGCAGGATGGGGTGGCCATGGGCCTTCTTTTACAGAGGAGAGTCCTGTATTTGGAAGGCTGTCAGAGCACTGCCCTCCGTGTGAAGGTGACATCGATTTGAAGGGCTGCCCTGTCCAAGCCTAATTTACAGTAAGCAGCCCTAAGAAGAGCCATAAGAAAAGTTGCCCAATAAATGTTAGCATCTGGATGGAAGACTGGACAGACAGATTCGTAGACTTCCACATTTTTTCTATGGAAATGATAATAATCACTTTGCATCTATTCACATTAGGTAGTATATGCAAATGTTGTGCCAATTTTTCAGTTTGTACCTATTCATATTAGGTAGTATATGCAAATGTTGTGCAAATCTGTCTCCCTTTTTTTACCTCTTCTTGGCCACCCTACTACAAGACAACTCAAAGACATGGAATTGTTAAGGACTTCTGCTTTTGTTAGTTGTGGAGTGTGGGGCGTGGAACCAAGGACCAAGTCTAGATCTTAGTCGCTGGAGACTTACTTCGGTGTGCTATATTTTTTGCATTGTTTTGTTGTTTCTCATGTGGCTGCTTCAGATGTCAGACCAGGCACACCCAGTACCTAAGAAAGGATGGTTGTTTTGATGTCTCTAAAAAGAGATGCTGAAACTTGCCAGGGTATTTCCGTGGAAAACAGACCATCCCCAGAGCAGGCTGGTATTTCCTTCATCCTTGGTTGCAATGTGATAGTCTCCTTCAGTCAGTAAAGACTCATACAGGACTAACTAATTTACGCGGAAGCTACACAGACAGAAAGTGCCTTATCCTGCCTAATCTTGAAAGCTAAGCAGAATCGGCCCTGATTGAAATCTGGATGGGCGACTTAAATGTTGTGAACCTCCCAGAGAGCTTATAGAAATGGAATAATAAATAGTAATAATCCTTCATATCCTCGAAGGGGCATTGGAGAAATGGTAATGCCAGGTCCGAACCTCATAACTGCAATTTACAAATTAGATTTAACTATTCCAGAGGTGTCATAAATCCTTGAAGCCCCCTACCCTGAATATATACACAAGCGGTTCGCTTGGCTGGAGGCTCAGTACTTTTGGTCCACCTTGTGACGATGAAGCAGGTGAATCTGCAGCTTCAGCATTGCATTGTGTTGTCACGCTCTGGATCTGGGAGAGGGATAGCGACGTGTTAGTTGAGGAAGCAGATTGACTACATAGTTCCTCCTTGCAATTGATAACCCTCCTGCTTTGGAAAGAATGGGGCATTTTGCAATCTTCTATTGAAACTGGCTTCACATCAACTCAGTGGTTTGGTAGATCCTGGATGCCCAGGGGGGCCCACCTGCAACAGGGGTTCCATCTAAGCTCAGCTGCAATTCTCCCAGTAAGAACTTTTCTGCTCTTGCTCTCTGTGCTCCTTCCCTCTCTCGTGCACACAGCATTCCTCCTGAAGCTACTCAAAATGATAACCGCTGAGACACAATTAAATTGTTATGTATTAGGGTTGGGTGCGTTATGCTTCATCCGTTCCAATAAACAAAAGGCACTCAGTTTAAGATCGCCATATCTCCCTGCATGAATATGCAAGAAAAAAAGGAAAGATCTTCTTTCCCTCTTTGCTTTCCTTGGCAATGTGCACTTAATGGGGTGCAGCTGAACCATCACACGTGTCACATTTCATTTTGTCTCCGTTCCCATTTTCCTCGTATTGTCGTAGTATTCCTCCCTTCTCCATCTGTGTATTTTCGTACTGTCTCTCTGTTTTCAAGAGGATACAGGGAGACAGATGCATGACTTGGCCAATGGGAATAGAGAGAGCAGTGAGGTGTCTGCTGCTGGAGAAGTGAAGGCTACAATTGGCCACTTCTGGGGTTGCTCTTGCCAGGGGACTCTATGGTGTTTCTATACTAAGAGTGGTAAAACAATGACCCTGGCTCCAGATGATGAGTGAAGCAGCACTGATATGTGGGAACTGCTGATTCTCTCCATGGCTTCAGAAAGCAGAGACTCTTGAACGGGGTCCAGTCAACACATCAGTCCCACCATGACAAGATTTCATCATATCTTCTTGTGTTGTGTGAGCCCATCCTGTATCTACTTACCAGAATTACAGATTCTTCCATTTGAGTTAGGGATAGCTGAGATTTCTTTCGATTTTACCTTTTCTATGGTAGCCGTCCTGCCATGGAACTCCCTCAACAAAGATTCACCTGTTGCCTTCTTTTCTGAGTCTCAGGTAGCAGTTTAAAACGTTTGTATTAATTCAGGCTTTTAGCGAGCAGTAATATTCATGTTTTAGGTACCGCTTGATCCTTGCTTTATTACTATTTTCTTTTCTTTATCTTACTGATTGTGGTGTTCTTATGGTCTTCTGTGTGTTTATGATTTAACTGCAGCCATCTTTGCTTATAGTTGCAGGGAAGCTGACACGTGAAAAGGGATGATAAAGATATTTTTAATTCATTAGAGAGCAGAGCTATCATAGCCATAGTGGTGGTTGACGTAGGAGCGATGTGCAAGGGAGGAACAAGGTCCAGGGTGGAGACACCAGGTCCTGTCACATTCCTCCAGCCACATCCCAGGCGGGCATATTTCACAGGCCCGACTGCAGGCATGCTGGGGCCACATGGCCCCCAGTGTGGCATCTTCTGATTCCCACTGCTGCTGAGATAGTGATGGTAACACTGGTTGCCACCACCACTGAGAAGGCTTTCAGGGGTAGGTGTTCCATCCCTCCAGAAAGCCTTTCTCTCCAGGAATTATTATTATTATTATTATAACATTTCTATGCCGCCCCTTGCCGAAACCTCGGGGCGGCTTACAACATGATAAAATACATTGAAATACAATAGTACATAATAAATTACCATTAAATATAACAATACAAAAAATACATTGATTTACAAATACAAAATTAAAATCAGTTTTGGTTATGAATTAGAATCAGGTTTGGTCCTTGAAGGTGACCAACAGGAGCTCAATAAGAAGTTCCTGGGCAACCTGCCAATGAGAGAAGGATCGGACATTCTTAGCTTTAGCAACCATAGAGGTTTAACATCTTCTTTGTATGACCACTGCTTTTAATAACAATATCAACCCCAAAGTAAGTGAGCCAGTAATGTAACTGCTGGTGCCAACAGCTTAAAAAAACCCTGTCAGTTGCTTTATACAGCAGGTCTTTCTTAAAGGAAATGGCAGCTTTCAAGATCTCTGCATTCCAACTGAGTTTCTTTTCAACCTTTCCTTGGCTCCTTCACAGTTGGGCAATTTTTTAAAAATACTGTTTTCATTACAGCTGCAGCAAGAAACTTACCTCAGGTAGCCAAAAGCAAGCTAATAGCATAATGGAGGAAAATGCACCGAGGAAATAAAATTTACAGCAGTTGGTTAAGGGTAACTATTGAGTGCATTTTGAAAATCATAGCTTCAACCTTACATAGACGGAAAGCTCAAAATGGCAATTTAGCCAGAGACACAGCCATCGAGAGTAAATTCATTATCACGGTGTATCGTGCTGATTTGATCTAGTCTGGAACCTGGCACATAGTCTGGACCATTAATAACATCGAGGAAGTTTCAGACCTTGAGGGTCTTTGTAAATGTATAGCAGTTTCAGACAAACAAAGACTCTTCCTTGAATTGAAAGAAAGAATGCGCCTGTGGTCTTTTGCCACCTGAACATCTTTCCTTCTCTAGATGGATCAGATTTATATCTTATTTTCTAATCTGTTCTGTCCGTTTGCTCTTCATGGTGGAGAACTGGGTCCGTTTCCATCCTAGTGGTTGCCAGAGATTCTGTTCTATAACATTTCTACATGATTGTCCCCTGGTTCTTGAAGCTGCCACTGGCTAAACTGAGGCCAAACCAGAATA